AGTTCTTGTTTTGAAAAACTTATTTGAAAATATTTTTTGATTATATGTTCTAAAAATTTTAAAAAATGAAAAGTTGTTCTAAAAGAATATCTTTTTGATGTTTTGTTATTTTTTTCTCAAAATTAGAAAAAAAGAATATTGCATTTTTTTGTCAAAAAGCTGGCTGATTGGCGCGGGTTACTCCAACCAGCACCACGATGGGTTAACCCGTATCCGTACCACCGACCCGCTTTACCAACTCTACCTTTTTTGGCCATCTCTATCCTTGATTTATACTGCTACCTCCTGTTCTAACTATAAAACCTTATTTGTAGTTTACAAACAAAATTTTATATTTAGGATCGAAGATAGTATTAATTTATTATTTATGGCAACAATATGATTAGGAGATAAACTTAAAAAGTATAATATGATACGTCAGAGTTTTGGGCTGAAGCCCAATAGATGCAAAACATACAGTATAGGGCCCAATAATTAACATTTGATTAGACGAAAGCCCAATAAAGTCAATGACTGAACCTGTAGGGGTTTTTTTTTTTTTTGGGACCAGATCTGTAGAGCTTCGCTTTAGTACTAAGAAGAGGGCTAAGCGTGAATGAGTGATGATACGCAAATATCAACTTTACTTTAACGGTATACCCGCCCCCCGGGGGGACCTTTATTTTACTCCCTCCGTTCCTTATTATAAGAGATAAATAATCGAAGTACGTTGATCAAAAAAATAGTTAAAGTTAGTTAAGAACAATTAATGTATAAAAAGTATAATTTTTTTCCAAAAATGCCCTCATTAATAAGGAGAGAGAACAATTAAATTATTAAAAGAAAGAGAAGTGGGAGGGAGAGAGAGTGTGAGTTGGAGATAATAAATATGGGTAAAATAGTAAATCAACACAAAAAAGTAGAGACAACTTGTAAGTGTCTCTTATATATAGGAACATGGTATAAGCATCAAGTGTCTCTTATAATAAGGAACGGAGAGTAACGTTTAAGTGAGGCAAATTACAAAGCGTGGGAGAGTGAACATTTAACTTGTGTTTAGAGTTTTTCTTTTTAAAGGAACTTTCAACATGTATTTGATTAATATGGTTTCTTAATATATAAATTTGGAATTACTATCATTTTGATTATAATTCGGTGCCACGTAGGAATTTTAAACATAATTTTCAATTCAACAACCGATATATTGATAGTGAAATAATTCCTGTTTGTTTAGACTTTGTGGACCCACGCTTCTTTTATTTTTGTTCATCTAATATTGCATCCAGTAAATTTATAGCAAAAATTGCGATTCCTTTTTTGGGATGAAATAAATATAAAAAGAAAAGTTACAAGACCAATAATTTTTTTGGGGAAACATCGTTACGAGAAAAAAATGTTAAGTAAGGGGAAAAAAAAAGTATTCGATTTATTTAGTTATTTATAAGCAAGGTGTGTGATGAACTTATTATTTTGGGGAAATCACAAATAAAGACCCTTGAATTAGCAAAATCACTCTATGGTCACCTGAATATGCTAAATTACTATGAGGGACCTGGTCTCAAATTGTAATTATGAAATCATGGTCAAATTACCAAAATACCCCTCTTTAAATTTTTTTTTTAAAAAAAGAAAGCCACTCCTCACCGGAATCCGGCCACCTGCGCCGGAGCTCCGGCGGCCGCTTCCGGCCACTGTCGGCGGCCGGACGCCGGGGTCCGGCCGCCGGAGCTCCGGCGCCGGCGGCCGCTTCCGGCGGTCTTCCTTTGGTTTTTTTTTTTGAAACTGTTTTTTTTTTTTAATTGGGGGAAGTGAGGTTGGGGGGATTTGATCCCCCAACCTAATGCTTCCCAAAATAAGGAATGACCATTGAGCCAACAAATTTTTGTTAACATTATGATGCAAAAAAAAATATAAGTTAACTCATTTACTCTTGTTCCAGGTGATAACAACAATACATTTGGAAATAACAAGTTCTGATTGTAAAATAACACGTCTGGAATAAAATTTAACAATATGTTTTTTTATAACAATAAATTTGTTGCAGGTAATAACAACAATACATTTAAAAATAACAAGTTCTGATTATACAATAACAAGTTTGGGATTAAAATTTAAGAACACGTTTTTTTTATAACAATACACTTTGTTTCAAGTGATAACAACAATACATTTAAAAATAACAAGTTCTGATTATAAGATAATAAGTCTAGGATTAAAATTTAACAACACGTTTTTTTATAACAATTAATTATTTTATACTTTTAAAAAATAAATTATTTATAACATAAAAAATATTTTTAATATATTTATTCTCTAAAAAAATACTTTTTAATCTGTATATCTATACAACTCATTATAATCAAACTACTTCTTATAAATTATAAAGTATTTATAATAAGGCATTTTTATTTATTAATCATAGTATAAATTTTATATTATTTCATTCTTTAAATATTAAAAATAGTTTTTATATTTAAAGAATAAAATAGTATTTTTAATTATAATTAGAGATAAATTTCACTTATAAATTTAAGCAGTCAAAAAGTATTTTTAATCCACAATAAATTGTACTATTTATAATGTATAAGAAGTAGTTTGATTTATAATAAGTTGTTAGATATATAGATTAAAAAATTTTTAAAAAAATTAAAAAAGTGTGTTGCCATTTTCCCTAAATTTTATTTATAATTTGAACAATAAAAAGTATTTTTAATCTATAAAAAATTATACTTCAAGTTCTGATTATAAATTGGAGATAAAAATTATTTTTTTAGCAAATTAAATAAATTATAAGTACTTTTTATAAGTTATAAATAATTTATTTTCCAAAAGTATAAAATAATTAATTGTTATAAAAAAAAGGTGCTGTTAAATTTTAATTCCAGACTTGTTATTTTATAATTAGAACTTGTTATTTCCAAATGTATTGTTGTTATCACTTGAAACAAAGTGTGTTGTTATAAAAAAACATGTTGTTAAATTTTAATCCCAGACTTATTATCTTATAATCAGAACTGTTATTTTTAAATGTATTGTTGTTATCACTTGAAATAAAGTGTGTTGTTATAAAAAAAAACGTGTTGTTAAATTTTAATCCCAAACTTGTTATTTTATAATCAGAACTTGTTATTTTTAAATGTATTGTTGTTATTGCCTGCAACAAAATTTATTGTTATAAAAAAACATATTGTTAAATTTTTATTCCAGACATGTTATTTTACAATCAGAACTTGTTATTTCCAAATGTATTGTTGTTATCACCTGGAACAAGAGTAAATGAGTTAACTTATATTTTTTTTTGCATCATAATGTTAACAAAAATTTGTTGGCTCAATGGTCATTCCTTATTTTGGGAAGCATTAGGTTGGGGGATCAAATCCCCCAACCTCACTTCCCCCAATTTAAAAAAAAAAACAGTTTAAAAAAAAAACAAAGGAAGACCGCCGGAAGCGGCCGCGGCGCCGGAGCTCCGGCGGCCGGACTCCGGCGTCCTGCCGCCGACAGTGGCCGAAGCGGCCGCCGGAGCTCCGGCGCCGGTGGCCGGATTCCGGTGAGGAGTGGCTTTCTTTTAAAAAAAAAAATTTAAAGAGGGGTATTTTGGTAATTTGACCATGATTTCATAATTACAATTTGAGACCAGGTCCCTCATAGTAATTTAGCATATTCAGGTGACCATAGAGTGATTTTGCTAATTCAAGGGTCTTTATTTGTGATTTCCCCTATTATTTTTGTGCTTTTGTTGGATTTCAATCCTCTTTAAGCGTCATGGCCTCTTAAATAGAATGAAGAGATTATCAATCTTTTATTTTTATTTTTTAAAGAGTCAACCCGTGCTAAATAATATGTGTTGATGCTGGCAGGTTGCTCATGTGACTTGTGGGTCAATTTTTTTTTTTTTTTTACGTTGGGTTATATTTAATTATCTTGTAATAAAAACAAAAGCGCTCAATTATTTCATAATAAATCAAAAGGTGAAGATACATTTAGCACTTCAAAGTATTTTTTTAGATGTATTTAGTACCCACAGGTATTTGTGGTACATTTGACGCCTCAAAATATTTTTTTAGATATATCTAGCACCCTGAATTTTTTTCCCTTGGTGCTGGATGCAGCAAAAAATATTTTTGGATGTTAGACATACCTAAAAAATATTTTGATATGTTAGATACACCGAAAAATACTTCATAGTACTGTATGCACATAAAAAAAAATACTTTAAGATGTTGGATGTACCATACAATACTTTAGAATACTGGACGCATCTGAGAAAATATTTCAAGATGGTAGATATCCCTTAACCGTAAATCAAATGATGAAATTTGTTAGACATAAGGTAAGTTATCATAATTTTTATTGTTTAAATAATATCAAATAATTCTGAATATAAATTTACAAAATATTACAGTACTCTTAAGCAATGAATAATGTTACTCATTTTTTAAAATTATGTAAAGCATAAGGGGCATTTAATTTTTAAATCATAGATAAATAACCTAAGACATGATTCGTTAGAGGGAAAAAGTTCCTGGTGCAGTAGGTAGAAATATTTAGATTTAAGTTGGAAAAAAAAGAAATATTTATATTTAAACAAAGAAAATGAAAAAATGAATTATATAATGCTTGTTTATTTAATTTATTTAATTTTTTAATGGATGAATATCAGTATAAATAATCAATAAATTCGGGCAAGAAATAAAGAATAAATAATATCTATATAAGTTTTTATTTCTGGCCAAGAAGTAATAGTAACAAATTAACAACAAGAATCAAAGTAATTATTAGCAAATTGGGAAAATTTAAAAACAAGAATAACGCACATTTCCATTTAAGACTAATCAATCGGCACAAAGAGGAGAAGCGTGTGCCATATCCATTCCCTCGCTCCCGTTGGTTCAAATTTTAAAAACGACCCCTCACCTCAATTCAGCTCACACAATAGACAATACACACACAACACTCTCTCTCTTTTCCTCTGATTCTCTTTCTCTCTCAAATTTTTCAATTTCAAACCCAAAATTAGGAAGAAAAAAAAAAAAAGTGGAAAAGGTTTGATTTGAGGTTTGAAGACGAAACCTCCTCTTCCTCAATCTTCCCTGATATGCTCATTCTCTTCAGGTTCGTACTCCGTTTCCTCTACCGATCATTTTCGAAAGCCATGGGTTGCTTCTTTGGTTGTTTCAGGATCAGAGACGATCGCCGCCTCCCTACTTCTCAGCTTGTTGCCGATCGTTCCCGTTCCCAAATCTGCTGTAATGTTCTAGAACTTTGTTTCGTAACGCCAAGAATTGTCGACTCTGTTTTTTCTGTCTTTCTTTTGTTATTCATTTGTAATCTCTAATTTGTGTTGTGTATTTGCTAAAGAAGGGGAAGAAGTTTTTCTTGATAGGCGTTGTGATTCCTTTTTTCTCGCTGTTTTTTTTTTTTTGTGGTATCTTTGAGAAAATTGCTAAACAATCGAAGTCGCGTAGAGTTTTTACTAATTTGCTGGTTTTAAAGCAGGATGCCTTGGTATCTCGAAATCGTCTATCGTCATTGTTTTTATCCGAAGGTATCCCTCTTCTCACTGCTATCTATTTCATTGTTATAATTACCTTTCCGGACCTTTTTCTCTCTTCCAGCGTGCGTACTTTTTATTTTTGGCCTTTAAAAAACTCTTGTACAGAGAAAGAAGATTCTCCACGCGATGAGACGGTAAAAGTAGGTTTGGGATCTCAGATGGATGACAAGGCGCTCAAGGACGAGGTACTTTCTATCCAATGATGAAAGTTTGTCTTGTCCTACAAGATAACTTGTATCGAATTTTCCATTTTGGTTTGTAATTTTACTCGTTGGAGCATTTTACTTCAATTGTTAATCGTCCTTAGCGAAGCGTCTCTTTTATCTCCTGACCTGTGATTTCTCTTTCATGCTACCAGATTTTATACGTGGGTGACTCTAATAAGTTGGAGTGCACTAATTTTTTAGTTTTTGTTTCTCTCTGCTGTTCTGTTCGTGAGTGGAGCTACTGAGAATAATGTCATGGATGCCTATTGAGTATGAGAAAAATACAGCAAACTAGTTTTCATGTTACGAATCAGGATTTTCTACCATCTTCGTCTACTCTTGACTTTTAATCCATAATTTTTTTCTAGTTTCTTAATGCATTTAGAACTGCCATTCTGTTCTTAACACGCCTTTTGAGTTGTGTAGTTCTTAGAAGTCGTCTTGGCTTTACTGAATCGTTTGTGTAAAACTGATTCTCTCGTTCTTCCTTACTAATTCAGCTTGTTAGTTTCTTACAATCATGAATCGACTGGTTAGTTCTTCCATGTCAGCTTCTATATTTGTTCCAAAGTAGAGATGCCCTCACTCATTCAATGCCATTTTTCATTTTGTCGGAACATCCATTATCTGTACATGAATTTCAAGACTAGGAATCTGAAAAATGTTTTGAGAGACACAATAACTTGTTATTGAGTAAGCTATTAAGTTTTCTTATAACCTAAGTTGTTACATGTGGCTTTCTTTAAATGTGCCCGCAATCTTGGAAACTGATATTTTTGCGTGAGTTCCACAGAGGTATATCTACTCCATTTACGTATTGTTACTTTACCATTGCTTATCTGCTTAAGTGAATCAAAATTTTTCTCCAGGCTAAGTTTCTTAAAGCATGCGGTACGTTAGCCGGGACCCCTGCTGAAATCCGGAAAGCATCTGGGAAACTGAAATCGTCACCTTCTTGTAGCAAGGAATCTGAATCTTCACGGTTTCATTCTTGGCTTCCTAATGCTCCTGTCGTGAAGCTCCAGATGGATGCTCAGCCTTTTGATCCCCCAACTCCCATAAAACCTGGTGAAGAATGGCGAGATGGCAGGGATTCTTTAGACCGCACTCCAAGCAGGTTGAAACATCTCTCTGTCTTGGCCCTCTGCCTTTTGTTACGTTTTCATTTTTGCCTGATAATGATTGATAATGACTGTTTAAAAAGTAGGTTGTAGTCTTTTTTTTTTTTTAATCGAATATTGTATCTTCCTTTGCACGCCAGCTGATTCGATAGATTTTGAAGATGAATGTGTTAGGAATTGGCCGTGGTTTATCACGATCTCAAAGAATCTACGAGAATATTACTCCTTAAAGGCTGTCCCTGAAGAAAAAATTCCGAAGCTGGTCCCCCCTCCCCCGCCTTTTCATGTTTTTGTGGAGTCGTGTTCTTATGGAAGACATACTTTGGTTATACCTTGTCCTTCCCTAAAAGTTACATAGCTCATGATCGCATGATAATGATAAATTTATTAATCTTGCAGCTGTATCTCCAATGCACAATACACCCAAAGTGACTCTGTTGACTCAGCTGAAGGAAGTGGAGCAAGAATCCTTTATTCTGTCGGCAAGACTTGTGATAATCGATCTGAAAAAAGTGCAGCTTCAGTTTCGCCTTGGCCAACGGTGGCAGACATTCAGAGGAAGAACAAGTCTGTACGTTTTGAATGCGATGCTGATTCTTCCTGTGGGAGTTCTTCTGAATATGGTGGAGGTCATACGAAGAAATCAGGGTCACCAAACAATCAGAGTGCACACAAACCATCACCTTATGCAACCCCAAGGAAACTATCTGATGAAATGCAAACACCTGGAACCGTGTACCCTGCAACTATAGAAGATTTTCCTAATGGCAAGCCTCGGGTTAGGTCCCAGTTTGTGTATTCATTTCACGGAACAAGTGAGAACGTCTCTCAGTGCAAAGTGCTTGAGGATGAAGAAGATTTAAACTCTGAGCAAGATTCAAGTGATATGAGATCTCATGAGCCGCCTCAAAATGCAACTCCAACAACAGAGCAGTCAAAGCAACACTCATCTGAAAATGAATCTAAAGTGGAAGAAAGTTTATCTGCTTGGTTGAAGCCGGCAGCAGTCATTGAGGAAGAGAGAAGGAAGAGAATGGAGGCAGCTTATAGTCAAATTCCTAATTCTCGTAAAACTCCTGCAGATAGGCCTATCATTGGGATGGTTGCAGCTCACTGGAACGAAGAAGAGGAATCTGATGTTCCTCCCCCAAAGTGGTGGGATGGCAAGGGCATACCAAATTCAACGAACAAGTACAAGGAAGTATGTCTTCTATATCTTTATTTGTGATGCAAGAATTTGAAATCAAAAATACTGAAATTAATGAAGGGGGATTGCTTTCCAGGATCAGAAAGTAAGTTGGCATGCAACACCCTTTGAAGAGAGGTTGGAGAAGGCGCTGTCTGAGGACAGCGTTGTGCCTCAAAGGTATGCTATGCCTCTAAACTATTTGTTGTTTTCCAAATTATGCAATGAATGGTTAGTCATTAATAGACCACAATGGTATCACATAACCGACCTCACTTAGTGTAACGACTTGATCAGGATCCTGCTTGAATTCAAATCATTTTTTATGGAGAGAGACATGGAAACTTGAACTCTGGGAATCCGTGAAAATTAAGAATTATAACAATTGTATTCTTGTTTCTTACCTTATCAGACACCTCAACATTTCGTTCTGAATACGTATAATAACATATTAGCAATTTGCGACTGTGATTAACAGGAAGGATGTATGTGGAAAGCCCATTGCTTTTGATGACAATGAAGAAAGTGATACAGCTCTATCTCAGATGCAAACCTCAAGTCATCCACAATCTGTGGTAACATTCTGATAAATGTAATCAGCTGCTCATTCTCCTTTGTGCTGTAGTCTGCCTTAAGTGATTGGTTGGTTTGTAACGTGGGTGATAGCAGAAATTGAATCACCAATCCGATTATAAACAGCTTTTGGTGGTAAGGCAGGCTGGCTAACAAGCGTGACAGCGCTTGCGTTGTACAAAAGTAATGGGTATTGGGTTATCGGAACTCATGTTCCGTGGACTTTTATTAATTTATTGTGCAAAGCACATCAATTTATTATGTTCTTATTCAAGGAATTATAACAGGCATTAAAGAATTTCTCTAAATGACGACCAAAGAAATGCGACAAGGAAACCTAATGAATCAAATCAAGCAGTGCTTGATATAAGTTTTATTTTACTTATATATATATATTAGTTTACTGAATCAATGTGTTAATTAAAAGACAATGCCATGAGCATTACGTTGTTCGCACGGACTATTTGTATGACAATGTGTTTGGAAATCAGTAGGTTTTAGTGTCATGTGAAAGCAATTTCATCTTAAAAGTTGGAAAAATTGTGTTTTCAGACTAAGAATAAACACTTTTGACCCCCAAAAAAAAAAAAGACTAAGAATAAACACTTGATTTTGAAAAGAAGCATCATTATAATCAAGACAATAATTGTGGTGATTGGTTGCAAAATAATCTTTTGCAGAAAAAATTTCTCAAACTTGATGACCTTGTTAGGCAATCATAATGTTTTATCCAAAAAAGGGGAATCATAAGTCTATTTTGGATTTCATTCCACACGTGTATGTTGGCAGTATAAATCATATTTTTAATAGTTTATATAATTCTTATATTAACTTATTTCTTAAATTTTAATCATTATTAGTATCAGCATAAAGTAATCTATATTGGACTATACTAGTTATAAATTACGGATAAGGCTAAAATGTATTTTTTAACTTTACACAAGATTTCATTTTAGTCCCTTAACTTAAAAATAAACTTTTAGTCATTAATCCTAAAAATGTAAACAAAAAAAATGATGATATTGAGGTTTTGAATGCCGATAAAATATGACTAAATACTAATATATTAAATTTAATATTTAAAATAACTACAAAAATAATCATTTAGGATAATAATTTTGGGATTAAAGGACTAAAAGTATACTTTTTAAAGTTAAAGGACTAAACTGAAACCTACATAAAGTTAAAAGATCAAATATATATTTTAGCTTTACGAATAATAATTCTTTTTAATTTTCGGATTTTTTTTTTCTCTTTTCAATTTGTCTCCCATGTATTTTGTTTGATTCTATAACAAATTCTGAATGCTAAAACAATATGTAGAATCTTCCATGGTTTTTTCCCTCAAAATAACCTTCCAAAAACTTTCAACTTAAATGCATCCAAGGACATAATTTCTCACCGTGGCCATGAAATTGTGAAAGTGAAATTTAACGATAAAAGCTACTGATATTTAATATAAGATACTGTTTGACTTTTAGTTTGGTCTTAAATATAAGACCCCAATCCACTTTGTTTCTCATGGTTACTCAATTTTTTCCAAGATAGTCCTTCTAATAATTAGAATTCTAGTTAATACACTTGATTATTAAGGATATTTTAGGAAAGACAACACTTATTTAGGACAAATAACTAACTCAATTTTTTTTAATCTCTTCAAATTAGTCAACCGGCTCTTATAATTAGAACCGGAGGGAGTATAAATTTAAGATAATCGCCGCCAAGCATTGGTAGGGTGCTTGAGAGGGAACTGGTTAGGGTTTTGAGGTAAGAAAGGGGACGAGTGGTCGGAAGCGGCAAGCTACATGTGGATACGAAAACCAACCTGAGAGGATCATGATGCTCTCTATTCAATAGTTTTCAATCTGAATTTTCATTCTCTTGCTGCTCCCATTCTCCCCTTTCTCTCTCTCTTTCGGCGCAGTTCCCATTGCTCACACCTTGGGCCTCGTGATGATGCGCTTCACGTCTGAAGGTTCTAATTTCCGTTTATTCATCTCATCTTAGTTTTCGTCTTTGTTAGTCTAGTTATTCCGTGAATCGTTAAATTTGATTGGAGTTTTGCGGTTTTTTGGTTTTTGAGTCTGATTTTTGAGCAGAACGAACTCGAACAGGATCTTGATGAATCGTGTTGTGGAGCTCTGATTTGTTTGTTGGGTGCCTCGTGATAGGTTTAATTTTGCTGAAAAACATGTCATCGTTTCTACCTTCCGGCTTTTGTTTGTGGTTGTTTTGGTATTTTGCATTGTTGATGATGGTGAAATTTGGAGACTGATTAATTTGGTTGCATGCGATGAGGAAATTGAAAAACTTAAAAATTTCGATGGGAGGAAGCTTGTTGCTGTGAATTGTTGTTTATTTCACAGACAAGCTCCGGGAATGAGCTATGGATCGATTAGTTAAGAATGGACTTGTTACAGAAGCACAGGCAAAGGTCTGTTCCATAGAAGTGAAGCTGAAACAGGACATGGACACACGAAAGACGAAAACTAGCTATGTTACTTATTCCAAGCCTGCTAGCAATTTGAAAAGAAAGAAAAAAGAAGAAATGAATTTACAAACTTTACGACTGAAAATATTTCACTCCATATATCATTCAGATGACGCAAATTTGCAAGTCCACGAAATCCCCCTTATCAGCAAACATGAAATGGCTTCAGAAGCAAGAATAGACAAATGAGTGGAGGCTTCAAGGATAACACTTCACAGTACGGGAAATAATTCCACTCTAAGCTGGTTAAAAACTTTATTCATGTCTATCTTCCAGTTCTATCGAACTTTTCCTTCACATGCTAGCTCCTTTAGCTGAATAATGTCTTCATTTCCCCCTCATTGCGCTATGCAAATATAGAGAATTCGACTTATGTCGAGTTGTAAAACATGGAGGGGTGTGTGCATATATCAAAGTTCACTTTTTATATAATATTTGGACCTAATAAATATAGAAACTAAAATATTAATGTTTCATATGCATATATATGAAATAAAATGAAGTAGGTATCACATTAATAGTAGGATATATGAGCTCAGTTTAATTTTTGTATTTAAAAGTATCCAGATGTTTAAAAAATTAACAAACTATACACCATCTAAGTAACTCTATGCTGTGACGAGTTGACAGAAATAATCACACTTTGGAAAGTTAGGGGATAAAAAGTTCGATCGCTCGCAAATATAGGCTATAAGAATGTTTGTTTTTTGGGCCATCAGTATATATAACCATATTGATGGGCATATTGTTAAATTGAAGTGGACAGATAGAAGTTCATACTACCGCTGGTATTTGATGTTCTTAAATATAAAGATTAGTTAAAAATTTTATTTAGTTCTAAATATAAAATTTTAATTCACCTTATTTTTCATATTTATTTATTTATTTCCTCAAAATAATACACATAGTAATTATATATGTTAAATGGTTTCTATACTAATAGACATGATACATAAGTATATTTTAGAAAAGATGATATCTATTTATTACAAATAATTAACTTAATTTTTTTTTAATATTTATAAATTAGTTATCTAGTTTTTATATAGAAACAGAGACAGTATTCTTGTCTGTTCAAAAGAAGAAGAGACTGTAAGGAACTGAAGTCCCGCATCGAATGCATCATATCAAACGCCAAGCTATAAAAGAGTGGAAAGTGGCTGAGATGGGCACGACCTTACTTGAACAGGATCTGTTCTATAGGCTCGTACCTCTGTGTCCTTGAGTATCAAGGAGACAAGATCCGCAACTTGGTTGATGACTTAAGACCAGATGGCCAGAGCGTGATTATTGGTTCGGCTGACTCATGGTTGAGTCTGTCTGGCCGCAGAGGATCGTTCTCATGTAGTCTCTACATGAGATGGCCACTTGGTTGTCTGACAAGTTCCCATTCTTTTTTTCCCATTTTCGTCTTGTTCGACCTTATTATACCGCCTCTACTTCAGTCAAATGCATCGTATGGTACTCGAAATAGTGGAAAGCAGCCTGGAAGGTCACGACCTTACTTGAACAGGTTAATTTCCTTCTGCATAATACTCAGAGAATGTAGCAGGTTAATTTAAATTACGACTTATCAGAATGAAGATATCAATAAGAAGAGTAGGAAGCATAGAAAAGTATGCAAAGAATATAATTGACATGAAGTTTTGAACTTTGAAACTTCCAGTTACGTAATTTGAACACAATTTTCGATCGACTTGGGAGCCTCTTTAGTTCATCTCTAAAGCTTAATATAATTGCCATGGCTCATCTTGCAAGTGGCCCAAGAAAAATTTGGCCTTGAAAATGACAAGTGAAAACAACAAGAAGCGGGTTCACAAAAGCCGCGGAACAGTACACTTACAAATAAACCCAACCATCTAGAGTTTAACAAAATGGCCCAAACAAGAAAAAGGATAGAAGATCAGCATGGATCTCAAGAGCCAGCTGCCTGGCTTTGACTTGATCAGTACCTCTATAAGAACCAAATGAGATTGTTAGCCTAGACTTAAGTGTAGGCGACTTAGCTCTAAAGTGATCCTCTTTCTCATAGACACACCATGGTGGCGAAGGTGTATGGCCCTACCGGTGCTGCCACAAAACGAGTGCTCCTTGTTCTGATTGAGAAGGGCATTGAGTTTGAAACTGTCCATGTTGATTTCACTAAAGGTGACCAGAGATATCCTGAATACCTCAAATTACAGGTTCAACTGTCTCCTTCTTCCAAATGTTTTCCTCTTTTGGCTTCTGTAATCCATAATTTAGTGAAAGATTGATTTCTGAAACTTTATCTGAGTTCTGATTTGTACTCATTTGTTCATGTTGAGCAGCCCTTTGGAGTTGTTCCTTTGATTCAAGATGGTGACTATACCCTATATGGTTAGATTCTTCCATGTTCTGAGCTTTTTCTCAACCTGATTTTTCTATTCATAATGCTTGATTAGTTTGTTTTGTAACTCTTTAAGCACATCAATTTCTGGATACTAATAGTTTCTTTCTTTCTTGTTCAATCCCATATGAATCTGCAGAATCCAGAGCAATAATGAGATATTATGCAGAAAAATGCAAATCTCAAGGAGTTGACTTGCTGGGGAAGATGATAGAAGAGAGAGGTCCAGCGGAACAATGGCTAGAAGTTGAGGCACAGAACTTTCACCCATTTGCTTACAACTTAGTGATTCATATACTGTTTCCTTCAATATGTGGGGTCACACCAGATCCAAAGGTGATTGAAGAGAGCGAAGCTAAGCTGGAGAAGGTGCTTGACATTTATGAGGAGAGGCTCTCAAAGAGGAAGTATTTAGCTGGGGATTTCTTCAACCTCTCTGATATTAGCCATCTTCCTTACACTGATTATCTAGCGAATAATATGGGGAAGGAGCATCTGATAAACAAGAGGAAGCATGTCAGTTGTTGGTGGCAAGATATCAGTAACAGAGCTTCATGGAAGAAGGTTCTGGAGCATTACAGAGCTCCTATATAAGATCAGTAAGTTACTTGAAACAGTGACTTGAGTGTGTGGTTAGAACAAATGTTGTGTCATTAACTTCATCGGTCCTATGAGGATTGAGGAAAGTTATTGTCTGTGTAACCCACCAAGGTTGTGGAATGTGAAGGAGGTGTCAAGTCTCTGCAAATTTTATTTGTTGTGAGAATGTGGGTTTGAGATCTAGAAATGCAATAAAGTTGTCCAATCTTTTTGTTCAGTCTTCATGTCTTCATTTGTTTTATATATATTGGTGGGCACAGGGCACCCACTGTTGTAGTGTTGTTACGTAACCTTGCTTTAAGTAAAGTTAGTTAATTGGAATTGTATGTCTGGTAAAAGTTGTGGTTCCCAGACAAAGCTATGCACTATATTTTGTCCTTGCTATTTTGTTTTAATTTGTTTTATTTATAATACTCATAATGTTTATGCATAAAACTGGAAACAAACCTTTGGACTAATAAATCTGTTTAGAAATCATTCAATTTGTATAAGATAAAATCAATTTTTCCTCATTAATCCAAACGAGTTATATTTATTAGAGATATGGTTGTCGCTAAGTTTGTGGAATGTGAAGGAGGTATTAAGTTGGCAAATTTCTTTTTCTATTCTATCTAGAAATGAAAGAAAAATGCTAATTCTTCATGTTAGAAATGTGAAACTATCTTTTGAATTTGTATGATTTTGAGAATTCACATTCTTGGTTTAGTCTCCTTATTTTATTTTAGAGAAAAATAATCATTGGATACCGCAGTTTTAATTCTTAAATTTTGACTGGATGCATACCAATTCTTATTGTTTTAACCATTTAAAAGTTAAATCTCTAAGTTTCATAAAATAAAAAAATATAATTAAATGGTTAAAATTAAAGAAACTAAGTTGTATTGAGTCAAAGTTCAGGAATTAAATTAAAACTGAGTCAAAATTATAAAGATTGAGTTGCCTTAAATTAAAGTGTAGAGATTGAGTTATAACTTAGCTAAAAATATAAAGATTAAAGGCTAATTTTCTCTTTATTTTATCATATCAAGATTCGAATCTTAAAATTTTCATATATTGATGTCACTTACTCATGTCTTTTATTTTGGCCGACACATACTCCTGTGATATGAGTGCGTGGTTGGAATAAACGTTGTTATTAACTTCATCAACCCTGTCAGGATTGAGGAAAGTTAAGTGAGATTTAGAGACAAGGTTATTGTTTGTGCAACCCACTAAGGTTGGGGAATGTGAAGGAGTTATCAAGTCTGCAAATTTTATTTAGGAAAAATCTCATATAAATACTTATTTAATTCTAAAATTTGAAATAAGTCATTCTAATTTGCCATTTGAATATAAGTAATATAACTTCTATCTTAGGCCTACTAATTTTTGATAAATAATGTCACTTCAGTAGTCAATTTCATTGTATATGTAGTAAATTATGAAAGTTATTGTTATTATGTTTTTTATGATATTCTTCAAGTGTACTAATATGCTACTTTGCCAACACACTTTGGCCCTTGTTTAATTGCCCCAAGACTTCATGAAAATTGACCATGTGAATAGTATGAAAATCGTCAAATGTCGTTATTAAAATAGTTGCTTACATTATATAAGTTGTCATTCTTGTTACTTATTTTGTAAAATATCATGCGAATAACTGAAAACAAGTTGTAAAAACCATTATGCATTCGGTGACTTTTATTATACAAGTTGTTATTCCTCTTGTTATATATTTAGTAAGTTTGTTTGCAAATAGATTAAAATTGGACTGCAAATAAAAATGTTGCAAATCCCTTGATAGAAATGGTAACTTGCATTACACAAGTTGTCATTTCTATTACTTCTTTTGTAAAATACTATGCAAATTACTTAAAACATGTTGGAAAAATCATTATGCAACTAGTATAACTTTCATTACACACAAGTTTTTGTTCCAATTACATATTTAGTAAAAAAATTTTAAATGAATTATGATTGGGTTGCAAACAAATAAGTTGCAAATCCTCAAATGAAGATGATTACTTGTATTACACAAGTTGCCATTTCTGTTACTTGGTTTGGTAAAATAAACTGATGAAGATTTAATTTGGAGTTTCTAAATTCGAAACCAAGAAAAAAAACTATTACAAGACGTGGGAGGAGAGAGGTGGTTAATTTTGGTTGCATACGATGAGGAAATTGAAAACTTAAAGATTTTGATTGGAGGAAGCTTATTGTTGTGGTGAATAATAGTTTATTTCACAAGTTCTGGGGATGAGCTATGGATTGATTAGTTAATAATGGACTTATTATAGAAGAGCAGGTTATCTAGCAGGGTGCTAAGAAAACCATTTCTATCATAGCAGGCAAGGAAGGAACTACTCCATAAAAATAAAAGTGAAGGTGAAACAGGACATGTAAACATGAAAGGAAGAAAACTAGCTATGCTCATTATTCCTAGCTTGCTATCAATTTGATTAAAAAAAGAAGAAGAAGAAAGGGAGTATTATAATGAAGGAATAAATTCACAAGCTTATTGTGTTGTAGCCAAATACCTGTTGATTTAAATGACGACTTGTGAGAACGAAGATACCAATAAGAAGAGTAGGAAGGATAGAAAAGTATGCAAAGACTATAATTGATTTTGATGGTTTTGAAGCGTCCAGTTACGTAATTTGAGTGCAAATGGCCCAAGAAAAATTTGGTCTTGAAACTGATTGGTGAAAACAACAACAAGCGTGTTCATAAAAACGACGGAAAACTCACAAATAAGCCCACCCAACTAGAGTCTAATGTAATGGCCCAATTAAGAAAAAGACAACAGATCAGCATCGATCTCAAGAACCAGCCGCGCGGCTGTGACTTGACCACTTGAGAGAGAGCAACCTCTGATCAGTATCATTATAAGAACAAAACGAGAGTCCTAGCCTAACCCCAAGTTAACTCTAAACTAATCCTCTTTCTCGTAGAAGCACCATGGTGGTGAAGGTCTATGGCCCTATCTGTGCTGCCACAAAAAGAGTGCTCCTTGTTCTGATTGAGAAGGGCATCGATTTTGAAACTGTCCATGTTGATGTCACTAAAGGTGAACAGAGAAATCCTGAATACCTTAAATTACAGGTTCAACTCTCTCCTTCCTCCAAATTTTTTCCTCTTTTAGGTTATGTAATCCATAGTTTACTGAAAGATTGATTTCTGAAACTTTATCTGAGTTCTGATTTGTACTCATTTGTTCATGTTGAGCAGCCCTTTGGAGTTGTTCCTCTGATTCAAGATGGCGACTATACCTTATATGGTTAGCCTAGCCTCTTCCATGTTCTTAGCTCTTTCCCAACATGATTTTTCTATTCGTAATGCTCGATTAGTTTGTTCTGTAAGTCTTTAATCACGTCAATTTCTGCATACTAATAGTGTCTATCTTTCTGGTTCAATCCTCGATGCATCTGCAGAATCCAGAGCAATAATGAGATATTATGCAGAAAAATACAAGTCTCAAGGAGTTGACTTGCTGGGGAAGACGATGGAAGAGAGGGGTCAAGTGGAACAATGGCTGGAAGTTGAAGCACAAAACTTTCACCCATTTGCTTACAACTTAGCGATTCATATACTGTTTCCTTCAATATTTGCGGTCACACCAGATCCAAAGGTGATTGAAGAGAGCGAAGCTAAGCTTGAGAAGGTTCTTGACATTTATGAGGAGAGGCTCTCAAAGAGCAAGTATTTAGCTGGTGATTTCTTCAGCCTCGCTGATATGAGCCATCTTCCCTTCACTGATTATCTGGTGAACAATATGGGGAAGGAGCATCTGATAAAAAAGAGGAAGCATGTAAGTGGTTGGTGGGATGATATCAGTAACAGAGCTTCATGGAAGAAGGTTCTGGAGCATTACAGAGCTCCCATATAAGATCAACAAGTTACTTGAAATAGTGAAATGATTGTGTGGTTAGAATAAATCTGTGTTATTAACTTCATCAGTCCTGTGAGGATTGAAGGAAAGTTATGTGAGATTTAGAGGTGTGGTTATTGTCTGTGTAACCCGCTAAGCTTGTAGAATGGGAAGGAGGTATCACGTCTGCAAATTTCATTTTTCTATTCTGGGTTTGGGGTTGTGATCTACAAATGAGATTAAAATGCTTATTCTTCTTATCAGAAATGTAAAACTAGCTTTTGAATGTGATGTTGAGAATTCACATGTTTAGTTCAGTCTTCTTATTTTATTTTAGACAAAAATAATATTTGCATCCCTATAGTTTGACTCGATTGTAACTTAATGCCTAAAATTTTAATTCGGTGCAACTTAATTCTTAAATTTTTACTCATTTGTAGTTTAGCCTTTGAATTTTGACTTTATGCATCTCAATCCAAATAGTCGTAACCATTAAAAAGTTTAACTCAAGTTTCATAAAATATATAATTTATTTTTTTAAAAAAAACATATATTTAAATGGTTAAAATTATAAAGACTGAGTTGTATTGAGTTAAAATTAAATAACTGAATTAAAACCAAATCAAAACTATAGGGATTAAATTTTTCTGGGTTAAGTTAACTGAATCAAAATACCGGGATTAGAATATTAAATTTTCTTTTGTTTTATCATATCAAGATTCGAACCTTAAAATTTTCATATATGGATATCACTTACTCGTGTCTTTTTTTTTTTGAATGGTTACTCGTGTCTTTTTCTTCTCAAGTAAGATATTTTATTTTTGGTCCAAAAAATAATATGTTTTATTATTTTGGGTCAATTTGGGTGGGTGGGAGCTCTGCGTAGGCAGTAGGTAAGCTATTTCTTTTTCTTTTTTTTTCCCACTGTGTTTTTAAAATAAAATATTATTCCAACCGTGTTGACCTCCTTTTTTAAATTTCTTTTTCTGTTTGTTCAATCCTCCGTGTTTTGTATTCCAAATCATCAATACATTATTGATGGAAAATAAACATAATTGATACCATTCTCCCAACAATATTTCACTATTTTATTAGAATGTCAATTTTAGGACTAAAGAAACTAGGAAAAATCGTAAATAAAGACCCCTCAATATATAAAATTGGGACTTAGGACTTTTAATTTGAAAAATTGCAAATAAAGACTTGGTTTGATATTGCAATTATAAAATTT